GTAAATAACCAATCAGAACACAACACCTTTACAACACGCCTAGTCACTAACCAATCAGAACACAACACGTTCGTGAAACTTGGGCCATAGTCTAAGACTAAGAACGTGCCATTTGAACGTGAAAGTTGCTAATTGCACGAAGAATAGTTAGCCGAAGTGGAAATTATTCCACGGTGAAATATCTCTTGGAGTGCTTTGAAAAAATGTTCAGGTAAATGACTTGTTTCAAGTTGTTTTGCATTGAGTAAACATTAAATTAAAACACTCCATGTGATGTTCATTAATGCAAAGTGCAGTGTGGCCTTTCCATAAAGTTTTCGTCTTAGTAACTTTTGTTTCCACTTTGCTTGATTTTAGACATGGACGTTCTTCTCTTAAACGACAATTAGTCATCAAATGAGATTCAGAAACAACGAACAAATGTTGGTGTATTCACCATGATCGTAGACTCCACAATTAAAGAAAGTGGTTATTGTTCACATCGGTTGAAGAGAATTGTGGCTGTTGTCGACCAGTTCCTCGACGCTTATCTAAACATAAGAACAAAATACAATTCAGTAATTTGGTTGAAATTCTTCTTCCCTTGAAGTACATTACTAGTGAATAAAATGTTCAATGTAAGTATGTTATCAATGTTTTTCATTTATGGAAGTAAAGTGTGAACTGACATTGGCTTCAATTGTCCTATGTAGAAACCTTCTGATCAAGAATGAACAATATACGTACTTTAATGAAATCCTCTGAACAATGATCAAGAATGAACAGCATACTTTAATGAAGTCCTCTGAAGAATGATCAAGAATGAACAATATACTTTAATGAACTCTTCTGAAAAATGATCAAGAATGAACAATATACTTTAATGAACTCTTCTGAACAATGATCAAGAATGAACAATATACTTTAATGAACTCTTCTGAACAATGATCAAGAATGGACAATATACTTTGATGAAATTGAAAAATACGCGACTTCTAATGCCCTTAAACCATCTCTACAAAGAATGCAAACGCTAAACACTCTTCTGGAGCAATGCATCCATCAGCCTAACGCCTGTTTCCATGGAAAAGTCAATATTATGACCTTTTCTAAAACATTTTCCTGGGAGTTTTCCTGCTAACATCACGACTGGTCAATCAATCGCAATGATGGATAAAACCACGCCGCTATCAAATGCCCAAATTTCAACATTATTTAATTGAAAATTTTTAATAAAACATGGAATTTCTTTAACATGAAAATAAAAACCTAAAATCCTAATTTTCCGACTGGCTGTCGATATTTCCGATTTAATGCCGTAGACGACATGCACAGTTGCAAGAAATGGCCAATCTTGTTTCTGTGCTTGCCGTCGTCGACATAAAAGCGGTGATGTTTGTCAGGTAGCCTGAAAATTGGATACGATGGTTTCACCATCAACGTTCTGAATTTTTCAAAAAATTATTTTGGGCTTTTGTGGCTGTCCTTGCTCAACATCCGATCGTTTCATCTTCACAATTGGCATGAGATTTGTCATTCATCGTAGTCTGTCGTCGAACTGCCAAGGATTCGTCGAAAACCGTAAGTGTAATAATAATAAACCTTTTATTTAGTTAGGCCTGTTAACAGGTCAAATCTCTAATATAATTCGGGCAATAGCCACAACAAATCCTGGTGTTCAGTATATTCCACTGTAAGGCTATTTTTAATGCAGGAATGCAAATATATATATTTAAAGAAATTTACATCTGCATTTTCAAAAATAGTCTTGATTAAGAGGTAATAAAAGTGTTCTTTTGGTTAAAATAATCCAATAGTGTTTATCGGTGCTGCTTTATTCTTTTAAAATTTGTGTCTTAGTAAGCGTGAATTTGTATCAACTATTTCAAGTCTGTGACTGGTATGCAACAATTGTGTTGTTCTATATAATTTACCTTCGAAAAACCTCTGTGTGAATATACTGCTTTAAGGAGCTACGCATGATCGCAGCGGTTGTTGCCTCGCAGAAGGATAGGCAGGACCATAGCTTAGAATCGGAAATGCAAGTGAAGTTTGGCCCAAGGAAGGCAACTTCAACTTGGGGTTAGTGGGTACAAATGGTACCTTAGCGTAGAGGATGCAAATAGCATCTGTAAGAAGACCTTTGAAGACTGGATCAAGCGAGCAAGGCCTATTGAAGACGAAGGGAAGATCGTGGTTTTGGTGGAAAGAAAAATATCTCCCTAGTACGGTAAGAGCATGCAGTCGTTGTAGTTGGCCAATTTCATGAACGGCTTTCTACATTGACTATTAAGGCACTCCTGCATGGATCCCCTATAATGCATGAGTAGTTCAACCCACCCCGGTTGGAGGTCGCCCATAGGTGCAACATGCACTAGGTTAAGTTAAGTTAAGGGCATGATGGGTTACCTCCTTCAAGGGGCATTCCTTTTCAGGGCGGAATTCCGGTGCCATGCGCAGGTAGGAAGTTTAGATAGCTTAGGCATGCGCTGTAGTTGCAGCGGGTAGTTGCTACGCTTAGATAAAGAGTATGGGGTTAGAACCTTTGAAAATTTAAATGATGAACTCCACTATCAAGAGAAATGACTAAATCTTTCAAAATCTTTCAAAGGAAACTTTAATCTTGTCAGTCATTTTCAAATCGACAAATTGAAACTCAAATAGTTTTCAGTTTGTTTAGACATTTACAGTTTAGGAGCGGCGTGGCAATTATTGTAAATGTAAAAATGGATAAGTTGTTTTCTTATTAAGAAAACTTCATTCCTGGGAATTTCGATGCGGCAAGCCACAGCAAAAACAGGCATAAAAAAATGTTTAGTACACCAGGTCTAAGTATGCGGAATGGATTCATATTAACCAAACTAACACGAAACATAGTTTTAATAAAAGCACATTGTTTGTTTTCTTTGATGGTTACCATGAAGACAAACCGCAGACGTTGTCACATATGATACAAAATAGTTACACGATGGTTTCCATGTTCACCATTCGCGTTGCTATGTAGACATCTATGTGATAATTGTCAAACTAAGACATAACTTAAATCAAGCGCTGCCGGTTGACTGGTTGAACCATCCACGGTCCCTCGGTAACCAAACTTAACGTGTGCTTCTTCAAGTGTTCTAAATTGTTTCAAAAAATATTAAATTTCGTCTGTCTGCTTAAAATATTTTGAAGTACATTTATCTAATCCATGTCATGCAGCAAACGCTTGCTCCAACTTTAAGCGTTTGTGGCACCGGGCGCGTAAAGCACTGAATGAAACAGTGCAAAATAGGGAATGCTAAGGTGGCGCTAGGTGCGACTGATTCGGATGTGGATTAGATAAGAAAACACACGTTAAAGAAATTCCCATCCAAATTACACAATTTTCTCGTCCAAAGTAGAAAATTGTCGAGTTCATGATCGGTTTACGTGCGGTAAAACTAAAATGTGGCGGTTTGTACGTAAGTTGTATGTACGTTAAAAATGGCGAATTATATCCATTACTAAAATATTTGAAAGATTTTTGGACTTGAAGGTGTCTTTTGAGAAATGGACTGCTTTTTTTTTTTGGTATTTGCATCGTTGCAAAGGTAAGTAAAGATTTTTATTTCTAATGGTCCCCCGGGGCGCGGAACTTCGGCTGAAATCCCTAATGGTTTTTTCCTCTTCAGTATTCTCCAAATTCTCGTGCCGTTGTGTTCGGTTTTGGTTTATACCGTTCAGGTTTTTCCATTAGGTATTTCTTATTTCGGTTAAGTCCTCAAAAAAAAACAGTGACCTTGGTGTGGGACTAAACTTGTACTACTTGTCATATACAACCATGGAACAAAAAGAAATGCAATTTGAATGCTTTGGATGTTTAGCTGAGCAAACCTAGGGTCTATTAGCTAAAATTTACAGCCATCTTCACTTTAGTTAAAAAAACAGCGTCATGTTTAAGCAATTCTGCATTTTAGAACAGTTTGGGGGATTTCAGTTTAATCATTTTTTATATTTATTTACTTAAAACTTATTGTAAATGTGAAAGTTAAACTTGCATGTATTTGGGGCGTAAAGTTGGATATTTAAGCATTTTAATGCTAAACCGGCATTATAAAAAAGCTGATAATTGTTTATTGTTTGTGACTTTAAATTGTGAAGTGTAATTGAACGACAAAGCTCTTGACCTGTTTTTGTCTATTACGATCAAGCAATAACTTACCAAATTTGAGCTTCAAAATTCTACAAAGATCAAATTTTGGAACTATAAAATATTCAAAATATGTTCAATAGCCAAAATCATCTGAACTTTCCAAGAAAAACAGCCCAACTGTGGGGTATCTTCAAAGAGCGGAAAATTTAGTCTTTGGGTTCGATTCCCAATACACTGTTTTTTAGTATATGTGCAATCAAATTGTCAAGTTTGGATTAAATCCGTGTCGGATAATCCATGATATAAGGAAGGAACTTTTAAATTTTAAAGAATCTTTGCAAGAAGCAACATGTTAATCAGATTGAAGATCATGGAATCGGGTAAAGATTAAGGATTACAAAATAACAGTCCCAGTCTCCCAACGCTCTCGTCTAAATCTAAACAATAGTTTGAAACAATATTGAAACAAAGAAAAAACGATTTTACGTTTTTATTAGTTGACTGACAAGTTGAGGAAGCTTAGTACTTTCCGTGTTTCAAAAAATTAATTCATTAAACTACGGTGAAGTAAACATTAAAATGGCTCTTGAAAATACGGTCCAATTATCCGAGAAATACGAAGCAGTTATGGTTCTCAGTGGAGTGGGGATGCTCTAGGTTATAAGAATGGTTTGTGGGAATTCTGTTACAGTGGTACTCAAATTCATGAAGAACTAGAAAAACTCGGAGGACTTGATAAAATTGACATTAAAGGATGGAGGGTTAGTGACGACACTGTACTACACATTGCTACAGCAGAAGCGTTGGTTTCTGAATGGACAACAACGGAAGAGTTATTGAGCATTATGGCTACAAAGTACAAGAAGACATGTGCTGAGGATATGTGGAAAGAGCTCCTGGCAGACCACAACAAAGGCATGTTTCATGTTACGACCTCTTGAGGAAAAAGGTTACATTATACCATTTAATGAACGAGGTGGCGGATGTGGTGCAGCTATGAGATCCATGTGTATAGGTTTGATGTTTCCTTGTGAAGATCAAATTAAAATGTTAATTGAAATTGCTGTTGAAAGTGGAAGGATGACTCATAATCACCCCACAGGTATTCACCTTACATAATAAAGCAACGATTTCAGATCATGTATCAATTATCAAGTCACTAATGTCTAGTGTTTTGTCTATCAACAAGTGTTGCTTTGTATAAAGTTTGCTTGGTTTTCCTGTTATCTGCATTGCTTTTCATTTTAACAAACCTTTATAGTAATTTATCTTTTCAATCCTTTTGCTTTTCTTAGATGTTTTATCTTCAACTCTTCCTTCGATTACTTACTTGATTAAGCCATTACCATGAATGTTTCATATCCTTTTGTCTAATATCAATTTATAAATGAAATAAAAGAAGGTTGACCTTTGGTTTGCATAAGTTTATGCAATCCATCATTTTCTAGAACCACATCTCAAATGCCTCCATCCTTCTAACATTGCTCACTTTTAATGACCATATCTTTGATCCATCCCTGTTATCGCTTTTCCACATTTCCAAATTTCTGTCGTCTAAAAACTGTTTGAATTGCCATTGCTGTTTGTCTTTAATATCTTCACTACTACAGCCGTTGAATCCATGATCCATATCAAAATGCTGCTATTATGTAAATAGGGTCATCATACTGTAAGTGACATGAAATTAGCAATCTTCAAAGATAATGATTTTAATTATAGGTTATCTAGGGGCTGTTACTGCAGCTTTATTTACAGCCTATACTATACAGAAGATGGCTCCTAAAAAATGGAGAGCACGACTTTTAAGTGTTTTACCCAAAGTTTAGGAATACATTGAGAAGGTTGGTCGTGATGTAGAAGAAAAAAGAAATCTTGGGGCTGCTTTAAAAACAGTTGAGAGTTATATCTTGAACTACGGGGATTAACAAATGGAACCATTGAACGAAAGTTTCCAGTGAATTATAACATACCTGAACGTGATGCTGTTTATAAATCTGTGAGTTATGCAGGTTGGGGTGGGTCCAGTGGTCATGATGCACCAATGATTGCTTACGATGATTTGATGATGGCAAAAGATTCCTGGTTTCAATTGTGCTCTTGTTCTTAGTTTCATGGTGGAGATAGTGAAAGCACAAGAATATTGGATGCAGCATGGTGGGGTGGTATGTATGGTATGAAAAGTGTACCCCTTGGAAATTATAGGAACGTGGAATTTGGTCATAGGCTTATGGAACTGGGTAAAAAATTACTGAATGTATCAAAGAATATGAACAACTAACAGGATAGTATTTATTTAACAAAATTCTGTCATCCCAATATACTTTAGTATGTTTGTAAATCATACAATAAAAATTACTACTTGGTTATAACATAAAAGCAAATTACTTTAGAAATAAAGTCTAAAGAAGAATGTCAGATTCAGGGCATGGGCAGTTCTAAGTTCTACTTAGGATGATTCCCGGCTGTAGAGTAAGTTTATTGACTAGATATCAGTGAAACTATACATAGACAAGGACCAATACATCTTTAGGTTCATTTTACCTCACAAAATACAAATTGCAAACGTTTTGTTCACTACCAAAAATACCTTCTGAGGGAGAGGGGAGCTGACTTGACAGGTGGAAGCCTTGCTCCTACAGTCTATGTGTTAAAAATAGGCTTAACATAATTTAGAAGGCACAATTTTCTTTAAAACACGTAGCTACCAAAGTGTAACTGTAAAGCTTTGTCATATTCCCGAGTTTCATAATACAACACACCTAGATTGTTTAAAAGCCTTAACGACATCAACCTGACTACTTCCTAACGTTTTTTTTGCGAATTTTCTTAGCTTTTTCGTAAAACTCTATAGCTTTGTCGTAGTTTCCAGTTTTTTTAAACACCAAACCAAGATTGTTTAAAGACGCAGCGACATCAACATGATTTGGACCTAACGATTGTTTTCGAATTTCAGAGCTTTTCATAAAACTCTATAGCTTTGTCGTAGTTTCCAGTTTCATAATACACATTACCAAGATTGTTTAAAGACGTAGCGACATCAACATGATTTGGACCTAACGATTGTTTTGAATTTCCAGAGCTTTTGTAAAACTCTATAGCTTTGTTGTTGTTTCCAGTATCATAATACACAGTACCAAGATTGTTTAAAGACGTAGCGACATCAACATGATTTGGACCTAAACGATTGTTTTCGAATTTCCAGAGCTTTTTCATAAAGCTCTATAGCTTTGTCGTAGTTTCCAGTTTCATGTAACACTGTACCAAGATTGTTTGAAGACATAGCGACATCAACATGATTTGGACCTAACGATTGTTTTCGAATTTCCAGAGCTTTTTCGTGAAACTCTATAGCTTTGTCATAGTTTCCAGTTTTATAAAACACATTACCAAGATTGTTTAAAGACGCAGCGACATGAACATGATTTGGACCTAACGATTGTTTTGAATTTCCAGAGCTTTTCGTAAACTCTATAGCTTTGTCGTAGTTTCCAGTTTCATAATACACATTACCAAGATTGTTTAAAGACGTAGCGACATCAACATGATTTGGACCTAACGATTGTTTTGAATTTCCAGAGCTTTTCATGAAACTCTATAGCTTTGTCGTAGTTTCCAGTATCATTATACACATTACCAAGATTGTTTAAAGACCTAGCGACATCAACATGATTTGGACCTAACGATTGTTTTCGAATTTTCAGAGCTTTTCATAAAACTCTATAGCTTTGTCGTAGTTTCCAGTTTTATGTACACCCAAGATTGTTTAAAGACCTAGCGACATCAACATGATTTGGACCTAACGATTGTTTTCGAATTTCCAGAGCTTTTTCATAAAGCTCTATAGCTTTGTCGTAGTTTCCAGTTTCATGTAACACCGTACCAAGATTGTTTAAAGACGTAGCAACATTAACATGATTTGGACCTAACGATTGTTTATTAATTTCCAGAGCTTTTTCGTAAAACTCTATAGCTTTGTCGTAGTTTCCAGTATAATAATACACATTACCAAGATTGTTTAAAGACCTAGCGACATCAACATGATTTGGACCTAACGATTGTTTTTGAATTTCCAGAGCTTTTTCATAAAGCTCTATAGCTTTGTCGTAGTTTCCAGTTTCATGTAACACAATACCAAGACTGTTTAAAGACGTAGCAACATCAACATGATTTGGACCTAACGATTGTTTTCGAATTTCCAGAGCTTTTTCGAGATGATTTTTAGCTTTGCTATACTTCCCGGTAACACAGTATAAATGACCAAGGATATTAAAATACCAAGCTTTGTCATAACTAGATTCTTCTAATTTAAATTTATCCAATAGTTCAAGAGCAAGATCGTATTTTCCAAAATGTCTTAATTTGTCAACAAAATATTGGAAAACTTGTAAAGTGTTCATGTTGATTTTTGTCTTGTTGGTCTTTAATAATTGAACAATTTTTTCAAGATGTGGCATTAATTTGATTTCGTCGTCTCTCTCTTTAAATCTGTAAAGTGCTTTAGATATTTGATCAACGTTAGTTTCCATTTCATGATTTTCATTTGAATGTTCAGATTGATAAACAATAATTGCTTTGTGAACAATGCGATGTAGACTAATTTCATTATTTTCTGAATGCAAGAACAATGAGCATTCGTCTAAACAAAGACATATATCTTCCTCAGCTTGTTTGGGATCATTTTTTTGAACATAATAAACCATAATTTCTCGTGGTATAGGATCAAATGATATCATGGAAAAAAAGTTAATAACATTTGCCAATATTGAGGATTCTTCAGCATTTTGTCTGACAGCTAAAAGTGAAGCTTGTAACATACTTCTAGGATATACCGAGTTAAATTTAACAAAAGTGGCGTCCATGTTTTTTTCTTCTTCTGAAGATATTTTCTTTAAATATTCTTTCCAACTAAATGAGCAGTTTGCTTTGTTTACACGACTGACATAATAACCAGTGGCAGCCAAAGCCAGCGGTTGACGATCTAATGCGTGCGATACTTCATTCAACAATTGATCATCAGCATTTTCATCTTTAGTGTAAGAATTCAACAATTGACAACATTCTCTGTGATTCATTCCACTACTGATAGAAATATGTTTGCTGGACAATTCATCGTAAGGTACGGCATCTGTATTCTGAACAGTTATTATTAGTTGTCCATTTTTCCACATGTGATCACCTACTTGTGGTAGTAACGAAGAAATTTCGCTCAGTTGCACAACGTTGTCGACAATAATCAACCAATTTTGCCAGAATTTCAATCGAGCAGATACTAACGATCGAAGGTTCTGGACTTTCTCTTTGGCGGAAAAATTTTCATCTTTAAATTTTTCAACCATAAACTTGTTACAGTTTAGGCGGTGTCCAAGGTCACTGTAAGATTTTAAAAGAGATTCCTCATTCTTCCCATCGAGAGTCATTACAAACGAAGTTTTATTTTTCCAATCACACGATATTTTTTCACAAACCTGTCTTGCAAGTTGTGATTTACCACTGCCAGGATTACCAGTGATGTAAAAATATGTCAGTTCGTTATTGTTATCATTCCTTAATTTTTCAAGATCGTTTATGATGTTATCTTGTAATTCAGTGCGTTCAACGATAAAATGATTGGGTTTTGAAGGAAGCACTTGGAACGAATTAAAACTGTTACGATGATGTTTTATTTTATTGATTTCATCGAGAGAAAATTTCAAATCTTGAAATGATTTTTCAATGATATTGACTATTTTATCAAAATTATCATCTGAGTATTCGCTTTCATACCAATGTGCGTCTTTGTTTCTTTCACAACGAAGTGCATGAACAGCATCCTTTGTGTTTTTGTCAAGATGATTTCCAATTGAATTTGAAAAAATTATTGCATCAAATAATGTTGTGCAGTCCCACTTACTGGTGTCTCCTTCCTGATATTTTTGTCGTGTATTTTGGTTTAAACTTCTTCCTGATTCTAAAGTGTAAAATTTGTTGCCACTTTTGGGTGTATCATCCCATTCTCCATGAGATGATTTGTAATGAGAGTTCCATTGTTTGATGAAAAATTGAGCAAGTTCCGTTTGTACCACATTGATTATTTGCTGAATGTAAAGTAGATTTCTGTTGATTCCATCTAAAAAGATTATGATGTATCAATTTTGAAAGTTCTACATCATATCACTATTCGTTAAAGTCGAGGATATGAATGATGAAATCAAACTTATTTATTCGTTTATAAATTCAACTTCACCAAAAGCATGCAATTAATACAAATTGAGACATAGACAACTACTAAATGGCAGAGATAATGCTACAGCTTTTGCCAATTATAGCAGCTTTTCAACAAAACATAAAAAAACAACATGATATTCCACTGGATAGTACATGTGACTTGTTACAAGACAGACATTGCTGGTGCTAGATTTTTATGTCTTTACGTCGATGTCAAATATCGTTTGTAATGGCGAAAATCCAAGTTAGAAATGCTAGAGATACCTCTGTATTTGACGGTGTTTCTATACATCAGTTGATTGTTACTTGACACGTTAATTCACACTTTAACTTACATACCTTAATTGACATGCGTGGCATTCAAAATTAGACTATTTAATTTAACTTGTTTTGTAGGAATTAAAACAGCAAAGAAAAAGCACCCATCTCAAAACACCAATATGTCTAATATGTCAGGTGATTGTTGATCAAAGTGGACTTAGTTAAGAAAAAAGCGGTATGGTGTAATAAGTGAGAAGGGAAACAGTTCCTTCAACAAAAAGTGGAAAGACTTGCTTCTAGAGATAATTTACAATATTAAAACTTGAATTGACTAATGCTACGAGTTTATTTTACATAACCTTGTTACTAGCACATGTTGGAAAATAAACTATCATAATAATTCAGGTCACGTGACGTGAAGTAAAATTGATTACTGTTAACCAATGAGATAATAGGGCAGGGCATGTTAAGAAAAGTTTCATTTTTTTCAAGGGTAATCTAGTTGAATATCGTAGCTAACTGTGATACATTATGTTCTTTAAACGTACGACACTTTGCGAAGTAAATTTCGTGAGACTTTTCGCAGATTGATACCGGGGAGGCAGGTAACTTGCGAAACACAAAAGCTTTTTTGCTTCTGAGAATTTTGACAGCAAAATATACAAAGATGCAAAACGTTAAAGGAATGTTACACTCTGTGTTGTGGAATAGTTATATTAAGTAAAATTGAGAATTGTGACTCGACTGCGCGTACAGTAGGATAGTATACAGTCCCAATAACGAATCGGCAGACGCATAACTGCTTTGTGCTAACGCGCAAAGGAGAAAATTGCTACACGTGGTACTTCGAGTCGGAGATATTTTAGTTGGAGATCTTTTTGGAAATTCAAGTTTATTAGTC